CAGTGTGAGCAATTTTTCAATTCGCATTCTGTTCTGAGTTGAGCTGGAGACTTCTAATCATCTTAGCGACACTCTTTGTTGTAAACAACTAGCGACAAATTAATCTTTTATTTCTGGTGGGTATTATTGTAGTTGCTGTTGTAGTAGGACACTAATTAAGTCCCTGGAAAAGACGCCTTGTTAGTATGACAGGGTCACAGATCATTTTCTTGAAAAGGAACAGAGAGTAGAATTCACGTATAACTAAACGATCACATTTTATGATGTCGGCCAAAATTGAGCTTCCCCTCCTTGACAGACCAGCATCCGCCACTGGTACACATATTTTTAGTAAAAATTTGAAAATTTTGAAGTGAATGAATGAATGCAACACATGCAGTAGGAAATTATGAAACATGCAAGAGTTGTCATGTTCAACACAACTTTTGGATTTTTTTTTCCTCCACTCAAAGTGAAGCGATGTTGATGAAGGTGTGTGTGTGTGTGTGTGTGTGTGTGTGTGTGTGTGTGTGTGTGTGTGAGAGAGAGAGAGAGAGAGAGGTTTTTTTCCAACTGACTTTATATCACCAGCCAAATCAGAAGGAAGCTGATGGGAAAATAAAAAATAAAAACAGGCAGTGACCAATGCAACATCAGTCATTGACTGTTCTAACTTGTCAAATGCTCAATGTACGCCATGAAACAAGTACATAACTTTAAATACAGTATCATACAAACCGAATGAGAGGTGAACTGAGTAAAACTGTGGGAATTGCAACACCAATGACAGTTGTGTAAATGATGTTGATAATCGTTGCACTATTTAACGTGACAAGTAGCACAGTAATTGCAATAGAACTTTGAATGTGCAATGATGCAGAAAGTCCTTCAGCACTGTCTAGTGTTATGGAATATTGATCAAGGACGGTTATGCTAATATGTAAAGAGCTAAAGCTACAACAATCAATTCAGTAATACTCTCACACAGGGATTTGCTAAATCGGCAAACATTTGCTCAGTGCCACTATGGAATTTTGAGTCAACCCTTAAGTGAACTGATGGCAAGAGGGACTGGAACTGATGTCAGCTCATGCTGAACAACAATATGCTAGTCAAACCTCACTCATAATTGATATATGAATTTAGCTCAATTTTGACCCCACAGATGCATTGCAGAGAATTGTTCCCTCTCATGGCTGATTGAGTTATCTTGATGGCAGAACATCTAATGTTACCCGACGATATCTAACAAAATCAAAGATCTGGCATCTCGGACACTTTTGACAACCACGACACAGAAAAAGTGGCATGTCAGAATTTGTATTTGTTTTTCCACATCTTGTGACGTTTACTACACTAGTCTTATGATTTATTCTTGGACACTGACCAATAGGAATACAGAGTCCGCTGCACTGACCGAAGAGTGTTCTGTTGTATGCTTAAACGTTCTATACATCTCGTTGCCAAAACCGTACCACTTTCCTCGACTGTTTATAGCAAAGCTGGTAGCAAATGTTACCCGAAAGCTATTGACAAACTTTAAGGTGTTAACACTTTTATTACTTTGAGTTCTGTTTGGACAATAGATAGCCTATTCTAACCTCTCCTGCCCATCCATGAAAAAGTCTTGAGTCTAATTTTTTTCTTTTGTTATGCCCCACAGCAACCACAATGCCATGCCGGATTGACAGCTGCTTGTCCCACCTCCCCCGCAGACTTTGCCCTCGCTCCATGCTCTTGACGACAGCATGTGATGATCGGGCGGGGTCTGATTGGTGACTAGGGCTGCACAATATTTTGAAAAAATATTCATCACCCATGTATTGTGCATATCGCGAAGGCGTGCAATCATTTTCAAATGAAATTCTAGGCTTTTGTTAGACATGGTCTAGTCAGATGCAACCTTAAATGTGCATCCATCCATCCATTCTGTGATCTGCTTATCCTCACAAAGGTTGCGGCCGTGCTGGAGCCTATATATATATATATATATATTTATATATATATATATATATATATATATATATAGATAGATAGATAGATAGAGAGATAGAAATATAGATAGAGATAGATATGTAGAAAGATATAGTACCATGAAGAAATAAATAGGTTGCAGCAAAGCAATTCAAACCATAGACTGTGTGTGCGCGCGTGTGTGTGAGCATGCACGCGCATATGTGTTTTAAACTGACCCCCTTTGACAAATCCTCTGGTCCCACCAGTGTTGATTAAAGACACAATTGGTTACGATGTTACAATTCACTGATAAGATCGATGCAAATTTAAAATGTTTGCTATTAACAATCAAAGGAGGGATTGAATTCCATCATGATCACACACAATAACAATTTTGCGCTCATTGTTATACAACGTGGCCAAAATCTGAATCAATAAATCAGATGCGGCTGCATAGAGGCCCCTTAATGAACCAATTTGCCCATTTATGAGGTAAACATTTTCACTTGAGGTGGAATGATATGCCAGCCTTAATGGCAAATCCTCCTTTTGTGAAAATTATATTGCTTGTTTTTTCTATTAATACTGAGTTTGTTTGAATGAGGCAGATTAGTTCTAATTATTATGTCACAGGCTGTAATTTATGACACTTTTGGCGAGATTACACGGGCAGAGGACAAAGTTAGAGATGAATGCATTCCTTCTGAGAGTAGGGCAAACATGATGGAGACACAAAGTTCAAGCAAATAAACAAGCAAAAACACACTGAGAGAGCCCGTGCAAAGAAAAGGAGTGCTCGGGCATTATGTCTATTATGTCAACAAAGTGAAAAAATATGTAACTAATGTGAGTAATATGTGTATAAATAAAAACAATTGCCAATGGTAAATATTAATCGATATAATCTAAAATATGTAATCATGAAAAATAAACATAACTGTCATACAGTAATCCCTCGTTTATCGTGGGGGTTACGTTCCAAAAAGAACCAGTGATAAGTGAAATCCGTGAAGTAGGATTTATTAAAAAAAAAGCAAAAAAATGTGAGAGGGACAACATTTCAAACGTGCTGTATGTTTCACATACAGCACATTTGACAATATAGTTGTACTTGGTACTTGATAGTCAGCTTTATTTTTTACAGTTATTATACAATACTGAACTATGTACACAATGCAGAGGCGATTGCTCTAAGACTGCAAAGGAAGCTCAGCTTCCCCTAAAATGTCAAAAAGTAAGTGATCAAATATATGTGTGTACGTCCAAGTGTGTGGACATGTCATTGACTAAATATGCGCTACAACACACTCAACTTTTGTTCCGAATCAGCTTCTTATTACTGGTTATGACGCGACTCTCTTCTCATTCATTCCCGCAGCTTCACTGTGCTCTAAATTGTGTGGACGCTGAGCGTCGACCGCGCAGACGCTGGGCGTCGAGAGAGTTCAATGTAGCTTGTCCCAATGCATTGAAACGAGACGAGTCATTGGATAAATGCTGGTTTTGTCCCGCCCATTGGACGCTCAGCGTCTCTAGGAGTCTATGGACAGTGGGCGTTTATAGGCTGGCCAGGAAGCTGAGCTTTTCTTCATGATGATTGGATGATCTGTCTGAGGCTGAATCTCTTTTTGATTGACAGCGAAATGAGCCAATCACCGATCTTAT